TTTTTTTTTGTTCATTTTTATCAACCATTCACTAATTAAAGACAATGAAAGTGTTTTGTTTTTTTTTTGTCTTTTTTTGAAAATATTTTAACTCAAGAATAATATAATTTTGCAAAATATTACGACCGGAAGATTTCATTCCGCTTAAAATCGTAGAATTTTCCTGGTAAATACGAACAAAGAGGAGCTGATCTGCCGGATACATTAAAATGAATCAGCAATGATTGGTCTTCGATCAAAATTTTTAATCGCTGTTGATTAGTTTGCTACTTAAACCAAATAAAATAAATCTTATGTTTGGATGAAAAGTGATGTTACAACCGAAAACTAGACGATGTTGTATCCTTTTGCATCGGTTACCATTGTTAAGACTGTTGTCAGATTTATTTTGATTTGAACAATGAGGAACAGTGAATTGCCGAATGACTTATTTGTGAACCAAAGCCCTTTTTCGAACAATTAATAAGACAAAGAAAGGTCATAAACCCCCAAAACCTAAACAAGCCGACAAATTCCAACCTCGTTCCCAGGGCCTTCTCACTTAGTTGGGGGTGGGGCCCCAACCCCAACTCGCCCCACCCCCAACTCCACCCCCAACTATATGGGAAAAGGCTCTGGGAAAGAGGTTGGACAAATTCAGGAGAATTATGTTCTTTTTCCTCTCCTTCACTCTCCGTTTAAATCATCCAAAAACCATCAATGTGACTGGAAACCCGTATAACTTGCATGAATTTTTCTTCTAAAATTTTGCAGAAATATATATCTTTAAATACTAATGAAACTGAAATTAATGTAACTCGTTTTGAGTTACAGGCAAATAAAGCTAAAATTGAGGGTGTTTCCGAGAGGTTGTTGTACTGTTATGGTAATCAAAATGATATGATTCGTTTATATTCTCTTGTGGTAATCTAATGCTCGACGAAAAGTGATCAAAACATATTGCAAAAATCTGGAAAATGTTTTTACGACAATTTCTAGGAAACAAAGAAAAAGCTGTGAGAAAAAAAGAAACAAATAAACAAACAAACTGAGCCACCTTAATGTTCAATGACTGTCATATTTTTCCGCGCTTGACCGTGGAACTCTGGATACCAGAATAGGTTCTAGCCTTATTTGCCAGGCGTCCGAAGGAGTGTTACTCGCCTAAGTTCGCGAGCAGGCCTACGCAATAAGCGCTTCGGCACGAGTCTTTCTTTGCACGTGGAAGGGCATGAAACCTTGAGCAACGCAAGCCGGCGAGAAGTCTGGAAAGAGATCTAGCAATGAAAATGATTTGCGCCAGACCTTCGGAAAACCTCTCCTCGAATCATCTCCAATCTTTCCGCGGACGAAAGAAACGCACATCCCGCAGCGCTCATAGCGATTCCCCTCCTCCTCCCCCGGGATTTACCATAACCTGTTGTGTAGAGTTGAGTCACTATCAATCGTTATAGTTCACCACTAAATTTTCTCCGGTTTAAATCGATCACGTGACGCGATAGTTCATCCGTGGAGAGACACTATCAGCCCATAGTGCCCGCCCGCGGAAAATACCCGGATGGATAGTGTCCGTCCGCGGAAATTGATAGTATTCATCCGTGAAAAGGTTTGAATAGTTTGACGGCCGCGAAGTTAGGCAGATCGGAAAAACAGTGACTTTTCAATTCTGACAGGTATAACGTATTATGTAGCCAATGTACGGTTGCGAATTATTGACATTTGTGACAAGCTGCAGGCGCGGAAGAAAATTTAGTGGTGAACAATAAAAACAATAGAGTGTTTATGTCTCAGAACTATCGGTCTGATAGTTGCCCCTTGGAAATTTGATGTTCTTAAAACTAGCATATTTGTTTTAAGAACATCAAATTTCCGCGGGGCAACTATCAGCCGATAGTTCCTCGACAGAAACACTATTGTTAATTAGATCATGACGCCTATTTTGACTGCGCATGCTCTCTTTTTGGTCCTCACTTAGCAACTAGGTCTAGTAATTACACGTCTTTATAATTATGCTGCACGTTTGTTCGCAGCAATTGGTGCATTTTCGCGCATATTGGGATTTTTTTACCCTGCGCGTCAATCAAACGTGACGTCTGTATTTTTTCTTTGACATTTGCTGGGTTTTCTATTGAAGAATTTCCTCAGCTTTGTTTGTCTTGTGAGAGAGACCGCGAGTAAGAGAATTGTCCAGTGTCATATTTGTGGACTAATAAACTTAATACGTGGTACAAAGACTGAATTGAGGAAGCACGAGGTAAAATTCAAACTCAAATTCGATTATATTTGGAATTTCAGAGACTGGGCTGAATCCCATGTAAGTCAAATAACTATCTTATTTCCCTAATAGTAGATATCGTAGTTTTGCTCTTACAACGCAAAACTTAATGACTTACAATGAAATCTACAAAACGCGTATAAGCTTAACATTACTCAGGTTACAAGAAAATTCTCATTCCGCCAATAACACGACGCTGGTTACCTTTCGATTTGTCTCAGAACAAATTGAGCGAATTTCTTTAATTACGTCTCCGGGTTTTTAACGCCACGTAAAAATAAAAACCTAATGACTGATTGGGCAAAAACTGTGCGATTTTTTGTTTTCTTTATGGCTCAATTCAAATAACCTATCTGCCGAATTTTGGTGAAGCGTTTCCGAGTGGTAATTGCTTCAGTTGTAAATGATAAAGAACTACGACAACCTGGAACATCAATGGCGTTGTTTTGACCTCCTTCACATTCTTACTTGGTTTTACCCGAGAGCAATGTTACCATCTATCCATTTGTTTCAGACATTGAGTCATTTTCAACGAATCTCAAAGTTTTGAAGAAAGCGTTGTAGTGCGAGACGTTAATTGCCCCGCTTTTTAAACTTTAACTTGCATTTGAATCAAATTTTGGGTTTAGCTTTTAGGGTTTGTCGGTAAATTAGATGTGATTGCGTTAGGTCATTTGGAGGAGACCTAATTTTTCGCTTTTATTTTTTTACCCTTTATATTGTTATCTCCAAGATTGCACATGAACTAAACTAAACTAAACTAGAAAAGAAAAAGAAAGAAAAGACTAACTTAAAGGCGTCAATAAAATTCCTCGCATCCCGAAATTCATTCTTGAGCCAATTACGAGAATTTATTGGAAAATTTTGCGACCTGCTTACATGCCATGCAATTCGTTGGTTTTATTCTCCAAAATAAATCTACGAGTCGGTTTAAAAAAGTTAAACAAAGAGTGTAGTCTCGACGCTTTGTTACTATAAGTCTTTTGTATCGCGTAAACCTACGCGACGAAGTAAAAAAACGGCCATGTTTGTTTTACTCCAGCTGTGTTTAGCTTTACTTAGTTTGAACAGGTTTGAATGGGTCACGACTCGTTTTCAGGCTCAATTTGCGCGGTGAGACAGTTTGAGGCGCGGTTCATCAAATGGGACGTAGCTCATTTTAATGAGATGAATATTCATTCGATGAGCGTACGGATGTAAAATACGAGACGGCGGAAAAATGGTGTTATATTTTAGAAAATTAATTAAGTAGCGGGGTGTTAATGAAGCAACAACGTAGCAAAATGCCTTTTGCAAAAGTTTGATTGATATTTCCTCTGAAGAAAGTCAACATGGTTGTCAAATTAATTGCATAGTGCTAATAACGCCGGGAATTGAAGAAACACTGCAGGAAATCGAAGACTGTTAGCAAACCAAACAGTATGTTTCCTCTTATTGTTTGAATGCGATTGGTCTGTCGGACAATTTCCTATATCTCCAGGTAACTAAGTTGTTTTATATTCAAGCGTCCTATCCATGGGAAACTTTTTTCATTTATCTGCGTTTTGTTTTTATTTCCTTTTTTTTTTTTTATGAACCTGTGCCACGTGCTAAAATCATAGACAATTTCATTGGGCAAGTTTCTTTCTTCTTAATATCTACTTTTAGAATCAACTTTTTTTACTGCTACAACCGAAGTCGTGTCAAATTCACCCTCTTGTCTTCGAAAGCTTCAAGAGATAACCCTCTGGGTTCAACCTTAAAATAACTTTTGACAGGCGCAATGTTTTAGTTTCGAGTTCAGAGTCAACAGGAACTTACTCGAAATTACATCGATTATGTAAGTAATCTCCTTTTTTGCCTAATGTAATATTTTTTATCATGTTCATGATTGTGATTCTCGAGCCAGTTTGAACTTTCCACCTTGTCGAGAATTGCTCTTAAAATTGGACTGTCTTTTTGCTTTGAAACTGCTTGATCGCACCACCGTAAATTTGCTTTTCAGCTCGCAGCCGGCTGACCTTTTTCAACGTACCCATCGAGGTTTTTCAAAACTGTATCGCCTTTCTCTGACTAACGGTGAGTTTTAATTTTCTCTGTTTTATTAGTCTGTATCATATGGAATGTTTTCAAAGCTAGGTAGCAATTCATTAGTTCCTTTACGATATTCTTTCGTGATCCTTGTGCATATGGCGATCGATCACATTTTCTGCATAGTAAAGTTGCATTTGGTAATTGCAAATTCAATTATTTTTCTCCTCATTTGAGAGCTACGGTAAGTAAAACGCAGGATTCAAATACAAATGTCTTAATTTTTAGTGAAAAAAAAACCTTTATAAATGGGTTTAAATTTCGCCTTTTGTTTCCGTCCCCTTCTGGAACCGTAAATTTTTCGAATCGTGATACTCCAGTGTAAAGCCAAGCTTTATCTATAAATCGCAAACCTAGGCATATCTGCAAGCAGTTGCCGGTATAGGTTATCAATCACTCATCAGCATTGTTAACTGGTTGAATTTTCCCTTTGATCAACTTACCAGTGAGTTTTACTGATTCGTTTGAACAAAATGGCTGTCATGTTCCCTACGGACCATGGCCTGCGTTTTAATAAAAAATTTTTAAATTTCGATACCTGACACTTTGAAATATATAAACCGAGAACACTGCACAGGTGATTCTTTCATTAAACAACAAATTAACAGACACATCGATGACAAAATCATTTCAAACCTCAGCTCCCTTAGATTTATCTAGGTCTAAATGTATTTATCACTAATGGAGAAAACCAGAAAACACTGTAGGTAGTACACTTTCCAAAACTCTTAAATGTAAAACTTCAATAACAACAACAACAACAACAACAACAACAAAACAAAAACAAAAAAGAACCTGAGAATTTAGTGTTATTTCTTTATCAGCTTGTTCGCAATTTTGACCAAAAAGTCAGAGGAAGAAATGACTCATTATCAAAAAAGGATGTCCCAAAACTAATTTTTCTCATTTTTTCTTTTCCTCTTGTACTTTCATTATTTAGCGGAAAATATGCATTTACTTCATGTAAAGTCCCTTTATGTTCTTCTGGTTACATTGTGTGTATTATGGCACGTGGAGGTCGATGGTAAGAAGTCGATATATTCCATTCATTTAAAAATACTTTTCATAGGATATTGTTTTTGTGTTTGTTTTTAAGCAGCATAACAACTAGATCATGAACAAGTCGATAAAAGAACGTCTGATCATTTGCCTCAGAATAAAAAATTAATTCTAATCTCAATTAAAATCGTCACCTACAGTTAATGGTGAATCAGGAGAGCAACAATTTAGTTAACTCTCATTTCTTATCGTAACCACGATTAACAAACGCATCTCCTTTCACATATCAGTTACTACAAACTCGATTTTAATCTTCACAGTATAACTAATGTTCAGTCATAGGCGGGGGAATATAGGGGGGGGATATAGCCCCCCCTCCCAAGAGAAAACTTTTGGGGCGGGAAAGCCATCCATTCTCGTAGTCTTGTCGAATCGTTTCGTCGGGATCGTATTTGGCGAAATAATACGAGCAGAACTTGAATCATTTTAACAGCTCAGACTTGTGCACAAGAACCGGACAATATAAGATGTTTTGGAAAATTTGAGTAAAGGTATGCACTTGGATTAATATACAGGATGACCTCCCCCCTCCCCCACCCTCCACACACACACACACGCGCACCCTATCAAGTCCCCAGCTGCCACCGCTATGACTTCAATGAGCTGTAAATTTCGTTGAAATATTCCTACTACGGCCATATCGCAAACGAAATTAGAACCACAGGGGATTTACCGAACTTACCTGAGACGAGCGTTCGTTACGCGATTCCTCGCTTAAAAAATAAATAATCATGAGGAATTACAAAATTTCAGTTAAAACTATAATCACGCTTCCATTAATTCATCTGATCCAATGGCATATTGAAAGAAGTAAAGATTTTAGAAGACTTCTCACCGTTCCACCCGCTCTCTCCATCACCGGACAACAGTTATGGTAGTTCGATTTGTTGTTGGATTCTGTATGCAGTATTTTTCAGTTTTCCCATTAAATAATCTCTCCAATCAATACAGTGTTGTGTTGCACTTTGTCATAAAATCGTCGCACTTTGTGATAAAAAAGCTGTCGCACTATGTAGTAACAAACCACTGCACTTTGTAATGAAATAACCTGTCCCAATATATTATTTTTATTATATTACTATTATCTTCACTATTTATCTCGTCAACATCACCATCCCTATCACTATAATAATCATTTCTCTGCCATTACCATTATCAGTTTCATTATTATTGTAATTTTTATTTAATGGTAAGAGGAGCCGGCGTGGCCTAGTGGTTTGGGTGCTGGACTTTTAATCTGGTATCCGGGGTCAAGTCCTCTACACTGCCACTCATTGGATTTGTTCTGGGTTACCCCTAGGTCAACTCCTCGGCTGCGCTCTGTAAATAGTCCACTCGTCTGCCTCCTGCCAGTGGGGATTTATAAGCACTTATAAGCATTGTGGCTGAAAAGCCCCTGGGGGGAGCTTCAATTGAGGTTTCTTTTTATTATTTATTTATTTATTTATTTTCATCTGCATTTTCATCATTATTATTGCTATCATTGTTATTATTATCATTTAATTAATTTTCGACCAACCATGCCAAGTTTTTATCACAAGTGCGTAGACTATTTCATTGTCAAGTACGATGATTTGTTATTAATTACATAGTACGACAGCTTTTTTATTGCACAAAGCGACAGTGTTATTACGAATTAAAAGAGCGAAAATGTTATTAGAAAATGCGTCAAGTGTGATTGTGAAGTGCGCTAAGTTTGATTACTAAGCGCATTAAGTGTAATTACAAAGTACCGCAAATGTTATAACAAAGCGCGACAAATGTTATTACAAAGTGCGAAAGTGACGTTGCAAAGTGCGATGATTATCACAAGTATGTAGGACATGCAGCATGAGCTCAGATGAAACGAACCCAAATTTTGTAATCAAGTCGTTGATATCGAATTAATCAGTAAATTGTTGGCGAAAGCTCCTAACGATCTTTTATTTTTCATCGATAGAAACTCGCCGTGTCTTGTACCGCTCAGATTTTTTATTCACTCGATGATAAAAGTTAGCGACAGCTTTCCGGAACGGCTGATCAAGGGATCTCAACTTTCTCCTTGTCGTGATAAGATTGAAAGGCGGGAAATGGCGCGGCGTCTGGTTGTCAGTGAAGAAAGCATGTTTTTAAATATCAAAATATTTATTTGACATAGGAATATTCTCAAACCGCCAGTTGAGCAAAAAGTCAATAAAAAATAACTAAAGAGTGAGTACATTTAAAAACTACTGTGACTATATCACAAGTTCAAAAATTTTCGAGATCTAGAACAGCTTTATGGCAAGCAGCTAGCTAGAATAGAGAGATCTGCATGACCTTTAAGAGTTTGATACTTAATATCAAGCTACTTTTTTTAGAATTGTAGAATTGTAGGCCAATTGACAGCTGACGGTTAAACCCCATGGAGACCCTCTTTCGTGTCTTTCAGTGATGTTATATAATATTTAGTTTTTCTTTTCTCTATTACAGCTGGCGACGGCTTACTTTTAACACGTGGATGCTACGTAGACCGGAGTGGAAGTAGAGCTATGCCTGAGCTCCTTGTGTCTTACAGAGGAAACGGCTTGGATTGGTCAGACCTAGACAATACAGTTATTATACCATGCCGCGAGGAAGCAGAAAAGAGGGTAGGATTAGAGAGCGATTTTTTAAATTAACTTCCTCAACCACTCCACATCATTATTCGTAGTACTCCCTTTTAATAGCCACACGTCAGGAGCGCATTTGCGCATGCGCATGCGCCAATTCAACAATCGTTCCCAGTTCCTTTCTCTTTCTTCCTCGTGAGGAAAACCCTGGGAACGAGGAACGAGGTTGGCGTATAGGCTGGGGAAAGGAGGCAAGTGTGAGGCGAGACAGAGCAGAGCATGCGCACGAAGGGCAAGTCACACGCGAAAGGAGGAGCTTTTCAGTTTTCGCGCGTGTCTCATCCTTCTTGCTTGTGTCACCTCTATGTTCTCCTCATGCATTTAGTTCTTGGATAAAAGAACAAAAACAACAGCTAAGCTTTTGGACTGAGACACTGTGCTAGAATAGTATGTGCCACAATGTAAACTTAGTTAGTTTACATTGTGGCTGAAAAGCCTCTTAGGGGGAGCTTCAATTTAGGGTTTTTTTTTAATGTGGTCAGTGGCGGATCCAGACCTTGAGCTAAGGGGGAGGGGGGGGCGGTTTTTTTTTTTTGTGCGTACACCTGTCGGCTTTCTTCCTTCTGCGTTTATATTTTTACCCAAAGTAAGGGGCCCCTCCCTTAGATCCGCCACTGGGAAATCTTTCTCGTGGTTATTATCTTTCAGAACTATAAGTGCTTTGGCATTCAGTTCTATGGTGAATGTTGGTCTGGCCCTAACGCGTGCGACACGTACGACAAATATGGCAAATCGGATGAGTGTTTCTGTTCAGTTGGTGGTTCCTCGGGCAAGAGCTATCCGAGGTACGATCCAGAACATGAACATTGTCTAGGGCCCGTCGGAGGGAGCCTGGCTAATTTTGTTTACAAGATAGACTAAGGTATGGAGCTCTTTTCAATCAAGTGTCAAAAGTAATTTAGAATTACTTTGGTTTTTCTTTACTTTGCTATGTGATTGGTGCAAAAAAAACTCTCGCCACTTTCTCGATCAATCAGATTCAAAACTTAAACCAATCGAGACTTGGTCAATTACGTTCCCACGCGGAATTTTCCGCATATGTCCTTACAGACATTTAGAAAGTAGAGTTATTATTGTGATAATAATGTATATACTTTTTTGACATTGACCGAAAACTTACATGTTTACTCCTTTACGAGATCTATTAAAGCTCAGTGTATGAGTCATCTTTAGTTCAAGAATGCTGTTATGTATAATTTCTTTCCTAGAATGCGTACTTAAAGAATAATAAGCCAAAAAGACATCCCTCAATAAGGGCTTCAAAGCGAGAGCAAACACACAAACTACTGGCCCATTCCCTTGCCCGTTCGCACTCTATTGCCAAGGTTCCCGGCGGTACTTGTCCTTGAGGAGATACCGCTGAACAAGTATACTACAGTGCTTTCTTTCGAGATTTTAACGGCAGCCTGAGTTATTCAGTCATGTCTTCTTTCAACGTACTTTTACCTTCGTAGGAGTTCATAACAAAGAAGCTAGTGCCAATCTGAAAGGTCAGCAGTAACTACGTGGATTTCCTCAAGATGAAACGCCAGTTTGCTAGGTTTCCAAATTTGTAATTTAAGATGTGGTTATAACACCGAAAGAGAAAAAAGAAAAAAGGTACAATTCTTGGATGTATCAGTGTATCAGTGTATTGTAATGTATTAATAAAAAGGTTATTTCAAGCGCTGATTGACAGTCTTTTAGGTCGATTTCACCTCGCTCTGATCATGAGAGTGTTCTGTAACAGCTCAATGCACAATTATCCTTTAAATGTGTTACCCCCCCCCCCCCCCCCCCAAACTGTCCCAGAACCGGCTGAAATTGGACGCAACTAACCGAACTCGGATGCAACCGTTTAGAAAAAATCCATACTGTCCAAAAGGGGACAGTTCGAATTCCATCTAAATCGGATGGAACTATTTCGGAGGGGAGAGAGTGAGTACGAGGAGGAACCCAACGCTCAGCTCAATTTCCGCTGTTCTTTTGACTCCGGGTAGTTTGGAGGGTGGAAGCGTTGGCTCATTTCCCAAACAGCGGTTTGTTGTGGAGCCTAATAACTTTCGCAATCTAAGGGTTAATCGTTATATTTCTATTTGGAATTTTTGATGCAATCGAAGTCCAAAATCAACACATTTCTGTGAGTAGCTCACCGAGATACATGTGATCGTGCGGCAGGAAAAAGTAGCTAGCCCAAGCTCCTTTAATCGCAAGACCTGTACGGATCTTTCATACCGGGTAAGCTGGGAATGAGTTCACCTGTAACGCATGAGCAGTTTGATAATGACAAATACAAAATGGACGGCAACAAAGATGAGGCCCTGAAATGCCATAGACTTGCCGAGAAATATCTCAAAGAAGGGAACAAGGAGAGAGCTTTTAAATTTCTCCATAAGGCGCAGAAGCTTTATCCATCGAAAGAAGTCGAAGGTAAGTGAAATGTGTTGGGTAACTGTTAATAGAAGACTGCTGAAAGAACTCGCGCTACCGATGTCGTAACCGGCTAAAATACCATATTTTTAGGTTACTTTCTTGTAAAAGCCGTGAAATTTTCAAATTACCTTTAGGAAAGAGATAAAAATTTGTCAAGGTTGGTTATTTTAATGCCATATTTTCTGAATGTTAACAATTTTTTTGTGGTGAGGATCGTCGTTGAAAATTAATATTTATTTCGCCAATTCAGAATATCAGCATCACGGAAGCTTACATGAAGTTCGTTTTTCTCATGTGATTAAAGTTCCTGTTGAAGCGACATTGGGAATTATGTTAAAGAATCAAAGATGAAGTTACTTATTGTTTAGTTTTCTTCATTATTATCGTTCGGCTAAGACATTTCAGTCGCAAGAGTTGGATGTTAGAAGCTTTTCCGTGACGTACAAGTGCGTGCATTTAGCCTAGATGCATATGTTGTGTGGGGTAAAATTAGATTTCATTTTGAGAATTGCAAGTTGACATCGCACGTTGTCATCTCACGCCATAAGGTTATGTGTATGTGTAAGATAAAGGAAGAATAATATTTGAGTCACTGATTAAAGTATGTGCTGAAACAATCTTGTTTGTTCGAAGTAACGAGGTTCAGCTTGGTATGACATAATTGTAGCCTTTGATTTGATGGATGGAATGAATAGCACTGGTAGATACTTGTGTGGATGTTGTGACAAAAAATCGAAATACAGATTTTGATTTCCTGATGATCCTGGAATTATTGGTAGCATTTTTTTTTAATGATACATACATTTTTCTCTCTGAGGTATAATGTTATGTTGGATGATTACATTTTAGGAAGGCAGCTAATATTTTGGTTCACAACTTATTTGATCTATTGACTGGGAACTTATAAACTTACAGAAAGTAACCCAAAAGTTGTTTGAACTTATTTGTATATATATTTGGTCACTGATGATACTGTAAAGAAGAGAATAGCAAAAGGAAAGTTGAAGGCTCTAAAGTTCTAAATTAGTCTTATATTATTTAACAGGTGTCATATCATTGTTGTTATCAGTTGCAATCATTTTTGATACTTTGTTTAAAAAAAAAAAGGACTTTCAAATAATACTTGTTTTCCTGCGCGAAGTTTTTTCCCTCTTCTGGCACGTAAATGTAAATGATTGTTATTAAGCAGTAGGTTCCCTGTGATACTCATTGTATATTCAGTGATTTTTGAGGTGACTAACAAAAATGGTGTTTATACCCATTTTCTAGATTTAATTGAAAGGTTGTCAAAGAATGGTATGTCCTCCGGAACCAAACATGATACCAGGGATGAAAATTTACGTCACAGAGCTACAAATGGCAGAACCAACCACAGTGCTCCAGAGGAGAAAAATTATACACCAGAACAGGTGGAGGCTGTCAAAAAGTAGGTTTTCCATTTTTAATTGCATACAGATGTGCATATGTGGTCTAGTTTGAAATCAAATCAATTGAAAATAATATAACTGGAAGTGGTTTGATCTTTTATCACCATGTTTAGGTTTAAATTTTGTTCCTTGAGTGATACCTCCAAACCAAAAGGTTTCAATAAGAATTAATGAATGATGAAATTCGTCACTATGTGAAGCAAAGTTGTTGCCGATTTTCTCTGAAGTCTACTACGTGAGAGTAAAGGTTGAACTTTCATTGGCTGTTTCCTTTGCATTTTTTGCACCTATTTCATTATTTATTAAAACCCCACCCTGCAAACTTGTCCCCATAAACTGAAAAATAATTGACACAAAACACAGCTATTGTCAAAGTGAAAACCCAATTATATCTAGTAACAAGATGTCTACTTTTAGTTTACCCTATACCCTCAATCAGACAATAAACAACAACTTTTCACTAGTAAATAGGATACTGGCTGCAGCGATGCCAGTTTAGAATGATTTCCCTCAGGAAAATCCCGCCAGCACGTGCTCTCAACTCTGATGTTGTCATAGCAACTGTCAAAACTTCGGTGAACCGTGAAAACATGAATTGGTGCTATTCTTCGAACCGCAGCAAATGGTAATATGGGGGACTAATGGAAATATATGCGGGGGAGGGTGTGAAGGAGATTCCACTTGAATTTGAGAGATGTTAGGATAAGAATTAATGATAAAACATGCAAGGTTAAACAATATGCTTAGCTAGTGTTACAAACATGTACACAAGGACTAGTTTAATATTTAGGTGCATCAGACATGAAAATAATTGTCCAAGCTATATAACAGAACTTTTAACGAGAAACTCAGAGTGACACACAGAACCAGTCGCTATGGAAAATAATTATAACTTTGTGTGCCCCTCCTATAATAGAAAAACAGAAGGGGGGGCAAACTTTTCAGGCCAGTGGAGCAAAACTATGGAACAGCATCCCTTTAGACATTTGCAAGAAAGACTCCATTGGCTCTTTTAAATCTTCTGTTGGAAATATTTTTTATCCAAGAACTCTTAGCCTAGTTTTTAGTTGTGCATATCCAGATTTAGATTTCTTTTTTTTCTATTATCTTATAAGTGTAAATAGTTTTTATTTTCTAACTTAGGATAGAGGGCCACTGGTTCGTCAGTTTTTAACTGTTATGTGTTACCCTCTGTAAATAAAGTTGTTACTTACTTATTTCCTTTCAAATTTTTATGATGAGCTTTTGTGGCATTTCTCAGGATCAAAAAGTGTAAAGATTACTATGAGATCTTGGGAGTTAATAAAGAAGCCGCAGAACCTGAAATGAAGAAAGCATACAAGAAACTTGCGCTGCAATTTCACCCAGACAAGAATAGAGCACCAGGGGCATCTGAGGCATTCAAAGGTTTGCTCAATAATTTATTTACCCATGAGTTTTCTATCCATTTGTTAACTAATATTTCTGTTTGAATCACATTCTTTTATTTGAGTCTTAATTATAATGCCATATAGATTATTTCAACACCATATGCACATTAAGTTGCATTCCAATTGAAACATT